CTAACCCTAACCCTAACCCTAACCCTAACCCTAACCCTAACCCTAACCCTAACCCTAACCCTAACCCTAACCCTAACCCTAACCCTAACCCTAACCCTAACCCTAACCCTAACCCTAACCCTAACCCTAACCCTAACCCTAACCCTAACCCTAACCCTAACCCCTGTATGTCCTGGTATCCAGTGGAGCGTGACGTTGACCATTCGAAGCTTCTTGACAATTTCTGCCACCACTTTCTGACAGGCACTCGCCCTCCAGCTCTGTGCAGATAGCAGCGCCGACTGGGAGTCAGAAGATTCGAATGCCCGACGCCGGTACCGCACGCCCGTCGCTATCAGCAAGTTCGTTGATGCTAATGGGGTCCTCATCCTCTTCCAGCTTTTTCTTGAAGAGTGTGCTGGCTTGCACCTTGTTCATAGGATGTACACTGATGATACTGCGTCGCTCGACAAGCTGCAACGCCACATCTTGGTTCCGTGTCGTGATAAGGACTGAGCCGCGCTCGCTTTGCGGAATGTAGGAGCGCAGCGATTCGGGGGCGTTCCTCGGGTTGGCCGCTTCGTGTTGTTGTGCAGTCGGGACATCCACGAGAAAGCGAGCGTCGTTTGTATGGATCCTTGCTACTGCACAGCCAATCGTGCACCAGCTTGAAAATGTTCGCCTCAGGGTCCTGCCGCCCAGATACCTTGACGCGGTCGGCTATATCTCGATAGCTCTGCTCGAACCTCGCTGTACTGCTGGCGTGTACCCAGAGCACCCACATCTCGGCCGATCGATCGCGCGTCTGGTACGCATACTCGATGGCGAGCTGCGACTTGCTACGCAGGCGTTAACCTGTAGTTGTAGTAGGATTGCTCTTGCTCGCCCTATACCGCCTAGGCCGACGAGTGCGGCCTACGAGCCCGCCACAGCGCATCGCCGGCGGACCTCGTCGGGGATCGTCCCTCGCTCGACGAAGTCAGCGTCGCGGGGAAAGGGTATCGCGGTGAATGGGCGCGGTGGAGTCTCTGGTCGATCTAGGTGAGGCTGTCGTCAGCGCTGGCTCGGGACCGCGGATCCTCCCGCGGGCGGAGCGACTTACCAGGGGAATGTGGAACTCGGCTGAAAGCGCAAGGTTAGAGCCCACCAAGTACCAGCCTGGCTGTGGTCGCCTGTGGTCGCCCGTAAGTTCTATATACAATTCATGGGATTTGAATCAACGTTTGCATTCCATTAGCTAAGTTACTTTGTCTTACGCATTCATGCTTTCCCTCAACCGAAACGTAGCCCACTAACAGAGCCGTCAATGAAACCAGCTTGGAACCCTTGGTTGTTATTTCCGAAGGTGGTGTTTGACAAAATTGCTGTGTGTTGGGCTGAGTGTGACGTCTTAGATTCTATTTGTCTGGGAACCTCTACAGCCGGTATCTTGGACAACAGCCCTTTGGCACATGCAGCCGCCGTAGCTGCCGCGTGGTTCTGCCAGCCCTTGTTCTTGTGCGAGTCGGCGTAGTCACAGATGCCCCGCACCACCACGCACGGGTACTCCTGCATGACTCTGCCATCTAGGGTGGCAATGTTGGATTAGCACCATGACTTCCATCTACGCAATCCAGTAAGATCGGCGCAATAATACGTCATCATCCTCAATTGGCTTGGTACCGGGGTACCTAATGATAGAATTATTGGCATTGTCTTTGCAATAATACTCGATGCGGCAAAATCACAACATATAAACACTACGCGAAGACGCAACGAAGACCTGAGAGATGAACAGTCGATGAATTCGCCTATTGAGCCACGCGCATCCATCAACAACGAAACATCGGGAAACGTTCTCATCTTAGCCAACGATGTATGTTTTGCCGCATACAGTTATGCTACGGAACACGACTATTCAAGTACCAACAATGCACACGTCGTCCCTGTTTCGTTCGCTATTGATCTCTTCCAGGAGCCTGCAGGTGGTGAGAGGTGCGGTTTATACAGCGACAATACCCCAGGTTTGGCTGCTCGACCCGACCCGAACGTTAAGATCGGATCATTATTGCCAAATTTATTTTTGTCAAACTGGCTTTAGCATGCACGAATGAGGGCTCTGTCCCAAACAGTAAATTCCTGATATTTTCCTACACAGGCTAGTTACCTCGTATAGCACGTTGATCATCTGACATTCTCAGCGAATGCAAGTACCGACCTGCGATTATGTCACTTAATGTGTAATGCTGATACGTCATAGGCTCCCCTTTAAGTCTCTCTTTATTGCAGTACCATGTATATTGTGACACCGGATGAAGACAAGCCTACGATACAGTTGACACCGTAGCCAATCAGATCATAAGCTACTTTTCATACCTTACAACGCACGATGGCCGTTTTATCGATTCGTATTCATTCCAGACAGAAGCAACTGAGTACGACTATGCAATTGTATGCCTGAAATCCTCTTAGCCTCTCGAGGGGATCTCAGAAAGAGCTGTGCTGCTGCTTACTCTAATACGAATGTAACCACAGCCTGGCCGACACAAGCCACAAAACTACAATCAAACATATAAATTAACTCATCTATCCTGCTCTACAATTTCATCATCACGCCTTCCATCGCATCTTCAATATTCAAACCTCCACAAAGCCAAACATCGCAAGCCATGTACTCCTCAACTCTTCTTTTGCTCGCCTCTCCCCTTGCCCTCGCAGCCTCTCTTCCCCCGAGAGCCCTCTGTTTGAGCACGCTTCCTCTATTCATCATACCAAACCTCGAGTACTCGTCGTTGATCCAGTATTCCAACCCAGCCCATATGTCCGTGTCCAGGGCCAACATCGACTTCAACATAACCGGTCACACTACCTCCGCATGCGCGGGCGCCGCATCTGGCCAGACGAGCAGTGGAGCCTTCTTCGCTTTCCCCTCCCCCATCGACTGCAACGAGGCCGATGGGTCCGCCATCGAGACTACGTTTTCGTACGCTGGGCCCTCCAGAACGCTTCAGATCAATGAGACGTGGATTTGTGAGGGGTGAGTCTCCCCTTAATTCGCTTTCTTCTTCTCCCCTCGCCACTTCCTCCCTACCCCCCTCCAGGGATATATTGATTGTGGGATGGAAGAAAACCAATTCGAAGCGATTTTGCTGACCATCATTTCTCATATCTAGAGACCAATACCTAGCTACAGCTACCCAGGCCCTGGACTTGTCGTGCAAGGGAAACCTGTGGCAGAACCCCGAGTGGACCGAGGGTGAAATCTACAGCTCTGAATCTGTAACGTGCGCGCCTGCCCGCGTCACAATGGAGCCCAAGATTACCAAGGTTGGCCCAGCGGGGGTTTAGGTTACGAGATGCACGATGATTGCTTTGGATGCACTGGTGTTGATATATATGGGTGAATTTGATCAGGTTGTAATGGAGGAGTTTTAGTACACGGGTAAACGTTGGTTGGAATATAATTGCTGTTCTCCTCGCGTTTTTGGTGTTCTTGCGGTTGCATATTATGTTTTTGAGGTCAATCTGCTCGAAATCTTCTGTTGTTTTGAAGATACCTAGATGCACTAGCCTCTAATAAGGACAACGGTTATGTCCTATACAGCTACCATCTAGATCATTCATAGACCACTTCAAAAATCATCTACCGAATACCAAACACTCAATTCCAGCGTTCTCTCGAAACGTGAAAAGATTCCTCCAACCTATCCTTCATCTCAGCGATGACCGTACACACAACCTCAACTTGCAATGTCGCACTTGATGCCAGTGAAAATTTAGGATTATCCTTCCTCTCGAGCTTTCTCATTTTGGTTTTTTCTCGAGTGAGAAGTCGTAACAATATCCCCCTCTCTCGAAATACCATTCCCTCCCTCAAACAATCGAGAGAGTAAAAAAACCCCGAAAATCTCAACTTTTCGCCCCCATCATCTCACTATCCTACACCGAGAAACATACCTTTAACTCTTTATCATCTCGCTTACTTCAAGTAGTCCAGTCTCCAAACGTTTCACACCTTTAAGTATGCCAACGCTGTTTATTTCGTTTCAGATAGAGAGGGATCTGCAGAATGAGATCTGCGCATAGCATGTGGGTCTTAGCCCTAGCATATATGTAGGCGCGCGCATAGCGTCCGCCTTTGCTTATTCTGATGGGGATTAGTAGGGATCTGATTAATTGTTGGGTGATCTGCCAGGGGAATTAAAGATAGAAGAGAGAGGATAGGGGTGTTGGTTTCTTGTGGTTTGGATCGGGGTGGAGATGGTGATCTGCGTAGAGGAGAGAAAGGGACTGGATATTTTGGTTTTGATGTTTTGATGCTGTGGTGGGGATTTGGAGATTTAGAGGTATGGTTTTTCTTGTTCTGGACTCCCGCCGCTTCCATCTCAAAGCAGACGACGTCGTGCTCTTTCTAGATTCTGTTTCGTTCTGCGGCGGAGATCTGTAGCTGATTGCTCGACGCGATGTTGCCAAAATGCACAGCTGGCTCGTCGAGCGATCAATACGCGCTCTCCCCTCGTTGCGAACGGGACGTAGTGTAGTCGGCGTCGCAGCAGTCTTTGCAGTCGTCAAACTCATTCCCTTTGTGCTCATAGCTGTCTTCGAAGAGCCTGTCACGGATGGGTCCCGGGTCATCGTACTGGCGCTGTCGCTTCTCATCCAGCTTAACACGCATCTGCTTCAGCATCTCCGAGATGTTGGTTTTGGACCAGCCTTCTGCGCGGAAGTTATTGACGGCGGCCATCAGATCGCCGGGAACGCCATTCGTATGCCCACGGAAGTTGAGGCGCCCTTCGCCCTTCCACCTGCCCCTGTCGTATTGCACCACCCCGCCATGGTTGCCCCGTAGCGAGCTGACGATCACATCCCCAAGCATTATCTCAGAGGCAGCACCTACCGTTCCGTATCGTGGCACGCCTCCTGCGATCCCGACCAGGAGAAAGTACTTAATGTTTGGAAATCCGGCACGCATCTTCTCAGTAAGGATGGCAGCGCCATCAAGACCTGTTCTTCTCTGCACTCCGATAACGACCTCGTGCTTGCCAATGCGGCCGCCCAGATAGAAGGCGCTCTGGTGCTTGACGGCTTCCTGTGGGTATTCTTCATCCAGGATGAGTCTCGCTGCTTCTTTTTCTAGAGGGAGTGGGCATATCCATCCTATGGTAAACTGTTGGTTTTTAGCCATTGTAATCGGGAATGGCGTTGAACAAAGGCTGCAGAGAAAGAAGCAAAACTGCAGTTTACATACTGTTCACACCAATAGGTAGCCTGAATCAGGCAGCCGCGCTATTTTGCTTTTCACTTCGATTCAGCCTTGTTCAGCTTGGTCACAAGCACCCATCAGCTTTTTCTAAATACAGCTAGATCTATTTTTCTGGTGCTATGACCTGCCAAATGCGCTCCATGTTTTTTTTATATATATCCAATGCTACTAAAAAAGAACTTTACGTATAACAAAAGATCTTGATTCTAGAAGCGGAGAAGCACAAATAATGAGACCACCAACTCCACTAGAATCATATGCCGATTGTTGCAATCGTCATGGGAGTAGAAAAAACCTAATACACCCAGAAATGTCGAGACACAACGAAAGAGGGTTTAGGCGTAAGCTCGTCCGGCTGGAACGAGAAGAAGTTCATTCTAAAGAGCGTCTGTTTAGTAGTTTGTTACCCCAACATGCATCTCTAGTGTACCAACGGACAACTTACCAGTACCAAGACAAAGGTAGCTGGCAAGAAAGCCATAGTCACCACGACAATCGCCTTCATGGCCGACGCCTCGCGCTTCGCTTCTTCTCCCATCCGCACCTGAATCTTGCTGTTCACCTGCGCTGCTACATCGAATGCATATTCATGTTATTCAACAGCTTCCTGTGTCCATATACAGTAAACGCACAAGATTGATTTCGTTTTAAATCCGCGCATTGCTTGCTTCAGACCAACCAACCAAGCCCTACAGAAACCCATGCTGAAACTCAAATCAATTCCCGACCTTATCCTAGCGTGTGTGTTTACTTTTGTCGCCAATAAGATCACTGCTAGCGTGCAATCTCTCGTGGTTTTCCGTATAGCATCAAGGGACCGTATAGCCACGCGTAACGTTTCGCTGACATGTACCCCATGCCTTGCAATCTCGTGTAAAAGAAAGTAGGCGGTCTCTTGGGATCTTCTCTGTCGTATGTGAGTATTGTGCTTTCAATCAAAAACATAGAGTATGAGGCGGCCGCGGCGATGAACCGGCGAGCGCTGGAGGGAAGTGAGAAGTCGCTGGGGAAAGAGCACCCTTCCACGCTGAACAGCGTGGGCAATCTGGCCTATCTATTGCAACATCGGAATCGCTACAAAGAAGCTATGCTGCTCTATAAGAGGGTTTCATCTGGCTACACCACCACTCTCGGCCTGGATCATCCGACAACTCAGGCATGACTGGCTCATCAACTCTCCCTCGAGCAGCTGTTGCACAGAGAAGCGACTGAAAACTCACATCATGATTCAAGGCATGCATTAAGACACGAGGTTGTAGCCGACAATACCCTTCTGCCCAATTCTGGCTCCCTAGAGAGTAGTCCACTTAGACCAGAGCCGCTTCCAAAAGAGGGCTGATGGCGAAAGTTCAAGATGAAGGTACACAAGGCATGAGGTAGCATCAGCTATACACTGTATTTGCTTTTAGTATAGTATACATTAGACTTAATTATTAAATACAAGTAGACAGTGCAGTAAGCATGTATTATACTGGTGAGTCACAGCACCGAAGTGGCGCGGCGTCAACAGTTGCCACCACCAGCTGAGAGCATGGCCGACCCGTTCCTGCCCTGACCCAAGGTCAGGGCAGGAGCGGGTCAGCCATGCATTAGCTCGTGGTGGTAAATTTGCTACGCCTTTCTTTCTTTACAGTTACATAAGCATAGCTGTCGGCATGCTGCGTATATTACTCCATCGTTACTACTGTGCAGTATGTTTTGAAATGCAGCCACCTAGTTTAGAAGAACTATCCAGCCAACTATGAACCTGTCTCTATCAAGATTACTTTGCACCCCTTGCTTTTAGCAGCTTCACCACCGCCTCGTGGCCTTCAGATGAAGCCGCCTGGAGTGCGTTGCCGTAGTATCCACCCGGCGCGTTGACGTCGGCGCCCTTGTTGAGCAGCAGCTTCACAATCGCTTCGTGGCCTCTATCTGAAGCCACCTGGAGTGCATTGCCGTAGCTTCCACCCTGGGCGTTGACGTCGGCGCCCTTGTCGACCAGCAGCTTCACAATCGCCTCGTGGCCTCCTGATGAAGCCGCCTGGAGTGCGTTGCCGTAGTTTCCACCCTGCGCGTTAACGTCGGCGCCCTTGTCGAGCAGCAGCTTCACCACCGCCTTGCGGCTTTTAGATGAAGCCGCCTGGAGTGCGTTGCCGTATTCTCCACCCTGCGCGTTAACGTCGGCGCCCTTGTCGAGCAGCAGCTTCACCACCGCCTTGTGGCCTTCAGATGAAGCCGCCTGGAGTGCGTTGCCGTAGTTTCCACCCTGGGCGTTAACGTCGGCGCCCTTGTCGAGCAGCAGCTTCACCACCGCCTTGCGGCTTTTAGATGAAGCCGCCTGGAGTGCGTTGCCGTATTCTCCACCCTGCGCGTTAACGTCGGCGCCCTTGTCGAGCAGCAGCTTCACCACCGCCTCGTGGCCTTCAGATGAAGCCGCCTGGAGTGCGTTGCCGTAGTATCCACCCAGCGCGTTGACGTCGGCGCCCTTGTTAAGCAGCAGCTTCACCACCGCCTTGTGGCCTTCAGATGAAGCCGCCTGGAGTGCGTTGCCGTAGTATCCACCCTGCGCGTTAACGTCGGCGCCCTTGTTGAGCAGCAGCTTCACAATCGCCTCGTAGCCTCTAGATGAAGCCGCCTGGAGTGCGTTACCGTAGCCTCTACCCTGCGTGTTGACGTCGGCGTCTTTGTCTAGCAACTTTTGAGCCGTTGCCTCTTGGCCGTAATTAGCAGCCCATATTAACGCTGAGCTTTCCGAGTATCGTATATTATAACGGTAGAGATAGGTATTTAGTAAACGGTAAAGGCGGTGGTTAGCTTGTGTAAAGGCGTTGATATCTCTCTCTAAGTTAAGATTTTCTGATATACAACAGAGTAATTCATCTGGCAGACGAAGCAGCGGCATTGCGAACGCTTTAGAGAAGCAACTTAAGGACAACCGTGGTTAACTCCTTGATAGCGAGTTTTACTCCGCCCGCCTCTAAGCCTAACGGGCACTAGTAGAATATATCACATGACTAGTTATACTTGAGATGGTACATTATGTTGCCACTAGCTGAAGGGAGAATGGCCGACCCGCTCCTGCCCTGACCTTGCCTGGTGGCACATGTTTTTTTTGTGTGGTAGGGGGAACGGGGTTTAGATAAGATGACGGACAGAATGATTGTGTCTGTAGGTTGTAGTGAAAGCTTTATCTAGGTCATGTGATGAGTGTGTCTTGCCAAGACGTTTTGAGCACGGCCCTAGGCCCTCCAGAAGATCCTGGCTTTGAGAAGGGCCCATCGCGGGAACTAAAATTGGATCATGTTAGTTGGCGTGTCGCTCGGCTCAAACGACCAGCGGGTCAAACTAGGCAGCAACTGTTTGAACAACATCATTGACCAGCATTATCTTCACAAATAACACTTTGGTTCACACATCATACCTCCGGTGAGTCTAAACTGCTGCCTAGCTACAGATGTGTTTATATGTATGCAGAATTTCAATCGCTATTGTCATTCATTAAATTGTTGCCAATGTTAGCATTATGCGCTCCAGCGATCTTGAACGACAAGCGTTTGAGGATGAAAAGGGTTCGGAGACTATTACAGATAATGAAGAAATGAAGACCATTCCTTTCGATTCAGATCCTAGAATTCCTCGCAAGAATCATACAGATATCTCAGCTCGAACAGCTCAGTTTTGTTTCCTCTGTGTCCATGAGAAGAACTATGGACATTACGCAGTTCGAGTTCCTTGCTTTCGCCCCACTAGGTGGCGACGAGCTTTGTCCCGATTAATTTTCGAAGATGCAGATGCGCGGGACGAGAAGATTACATACGCGCAGCTCGATCCTATGGAGAACGCTTGTGAAAGCGATGCTGCAATATATGAAAGGCTCAAAAGAGCATGCTTCCAACACCAGAATAAGTGGAAGCAGTGGGTTCCATTCTATGGTATCGTTGACGTACGCGAGGTCAGTGTAAGTCTCCCATGAAGCACCCGTTTCGCATATTTCTTACACGATGGCATAGTTACAATTTCTCGGAGGCGCAGACAAAACCGGTCGATTTCCAATACATGTATATCCGATAAGCATCAGCGAGATTCGTAAAGAGGCAGACCAAGCAATTGCATTAGAACCCGACAATTTGGATATTGAAAATGCTTGTGGTGGGGGTTGGCACAGCAGAGAGTGCATGAATATTATGGACATGTACTTACTGCCCTGCGTTATGGACCAAGCCGAAGCAGGTCGGCAACGAAAGAAAAAGCTTGATATACTTTATCTGCTCAAGGACTGTGCACGAGATCCACCGAAGGCCAACGGGCTAAGGACTTTAGAAGGACTCGCACAGGAAAGCTGCATTATGGACACAAAGCAAGTATAATATCTCAGCACCGGACTATGCTAATTTATTAAAGAGCAAATCATGTCGTGGCTGCTGATTGCCAGCAATCACTTCTCAGGGCTGATACAGTACCGGGTTTGCAATTCATCTTAGGGTGGGAAAGAGATCGTATGTCATTGGAACTGCCGGTCAGGATATCTTGGACCCTTCTAGGCTTAGCCATGATATGGCTATGTGTTGTTCTTTTAGGTGGATCAGCAAAAGACTGGGACATCGCTATGGCATTTGGACAGTTGCTCGTCGCTTCTATAGCCTTGTTAATCTGTATTCTTAGAGATTAGGGATTATCTCCTTCTCTCCTTGCATGCGCTCATCGTCAAAGTAGAAGACTATACAAGGTCTAAAAGAGTATAGTGAAGCACAACGGTTCGCTAACTAATTTTTGGAAGCTGAAGGGTGCATTATGTGGTACTTTGCGTCGCAACCGCTAGTAGGAGCATGACTGACCCGCTCTGGTCATGTGGTTGAATCGGAGGCGTTGGATTTCTTGAGTCATTTGAGAGAGGTTGTGGTGGACGTTGTGATTATAGAATTGAGGTTCGGCCGCGGTAAACGCTAAGGTACTTTCCTGCCCGGCCTTGCAATAACTAGATCCCCGAAGCGAGGCTCTGGAACAGGCCTAATATGGGAACTAAAATGGGGCCTGAGGCTAGTTACTGATCGGCCTGCCATTGAAGCGTAATTAGTGGCTTGTCGTACCGACTTGTTAGTCAGACAGATTAGGAATCTTTTCATTTCACTCTGGTTTCAAAACTCGATCCGAAAACTAACTTAGAAAGATTTCCTCCGCCTACCCACACAAGAGCCTTAACACTGCCAAGATCTTATAACAACTAATGATGTCTCCGGTATCCCCAAAATCTACGGCGTTGATGATCTTAATGGCGTTTTCCAGATCCCGAGCAAACATAAGCTTCCAATGCTTGTCGGAAATAAGTATGAGTGGAAGCGTGATGGACACGGGATCCTGAGTGAGCGTGCGTAGGCGGTTGAAGTATGCTATTGCCTAGACGGACAACTGCACCTTACTGTTCTCCTTACTGCCGTCGGGAGACTTGGTCTTGATACTGATGGCGACGGGGTTGTAGCACAGAGGCGAGTAGTTAGATGGATTGATGGTCCGCTGGAGTGGTGGGAGAGAAGTAGCTAGCCGGGTAATAACCTGGTCTTCGGAAAATAGGGGTGGCCCAAGGTTGATGGCGTAATTAATCATCTTATTCTTTAAAAGCTCGCCGTATTTGTTACTGGGGACCAGCTCCTTGATAACACGCGCAGTCGTGATATTATGGTATTTGAGGCCAGAGCGGTCACGAACTGCTTGTTCCAGCATTCGACTATGCACACGTTCGTTCTAAGTGGGCTCGTGGACGTATTTGGTTTTGCAAAACGCAGTTGAGTCCCGAATCTCTCTTAAGGCTTTGAACTCATCTGTTAACTGTTCTCTAGTTATGCTATTCGATTTCATCGTCACGAAAAGGTCCAAATCGTCGAGATCGCCGCCGGCATCCTTTTGAATCTCATCCTAGGTAGAGATGTGAGCAAAGAGAGTAGGGGTGAGAGCGGATTGACTCGTACCTTAATCCCCAGCGGAATAACACTACGGGGTACACGAGCTAGGCTTTGGATTGCTTTGTAAACTCCTCGCACGTTCTCTGGTACGTCTGCAGGCGATTTCACCGTCTTTAGCGCTACCGTCTTCTCTGCCACTTGAAGATCTACTATTCGTTTGGTCGGACTGCGCGATCGCGCCCTCGAGCTGATTGATTCGGTGATAGACGATGCCGGCCGGTCTATATCGTATCTGAGGATGTCCAATTCACCCTCGGATGCGCTGGGCGTTAATGCTGGCATCTGTGTCTCGTCCAGGTCTAGAACAGGCACGATAGGAACAGGCAAGCCAGGAGCAAGTTTTCCTTTGGCATGAACTGGCCGTGGTGTAGCATTGGGGTCCACGAGATCCTTTACTGCTGAACCGATGTTTGTGTCCTTTGCTTTCCTTGCAGCTACCCTACTGGACCTCTTCGACGGCGATCGTAGGGCCTGCGACATGACAAGTGAGGGTGAGTTCGGCGTTCGTCGTCGCTTGGGGGGAGGCTCGTAGTTTAAGGGTTCGATCTCTGAGAGCTTGGTGTGGCTTCGCTTTGATCTGGTGAAGGATGTGGGTGGAGAAGGAAGAAGGGAGGATGGAGGTTCGATTTGTTTGGATGCGGGGTGCTGCCTTGAGGGCTTTTGCAGGTAGTCTGCAGGAATTTGCGGATTAGGCGGCGGCTCCGAGTCACCTCTCGCATCGAGCACGGCAGATAGCCATTTCCCCGTGAAATCCATAGGTAGAGATAAAGATGCAGGCGAATTAGCAAGATTTGAGGTGTCAGGAACAGCTGGAGTAGAGAACGGTTTGCAATGTTGTGACAAGGCAGTTGCCAGGCTAACGTCCGCCAAGCGCGCCAGGGTCGCCGGTTGCCCCGCCCGAGACGGAAGCGCTAAACAAGGGTGTGGATTGGAGTCTATCTACGTTTGGCCTTCGCCTCGACGTCTACTCAACTGCATATCCTCACAGATACCTGTTGCAGTGGCAAGCCGCCACAAGGTCCGGGCAGGAACGGGTCGGCCATGCTGACGGACAATAGTGGCGAGACAAGTAAATGCGCCACCGCCATGCTAACGCCTCATGTACCCTTTATGTACTTTTCTGTACTCTATAGCTCTAAGTTACAACTAATAACTGTTTTAAACACATAGCTAGCTAAGATACAATCCTTTAACTGTAATAATATAGATCTGGCTGCTACTAGCTATCTAGAGTTAAAGAGCTAATGTTAGCTTTCTCTACCTCCTAGTTTGTAAGTGTGCTAAAAGAAAATATATACTATCTCTTTACACGTGCTAAAAAAACACTATAAGTACCTTTTCTTTAAACACCTCTAACTCTGTGCGCAATAGTTTATTTGCTATAGCTTTATATAAATTGCATGCTCTAGCATCTATTAAACATTTTAAAACCTTTTTATATAAATAATACGTGCGTATTGCTGCATGCGCATGCTCTTTATATATATACCTGCGCTATTATTACTTATAAAACTAGCTAAAGAGTATTGTCTAATTGTTTGCACCTTGCAACTTTACTAGAAAGTTACTACTAGCTCTGTGCGCGCTATAATATATAGGTTTATACAAAAGCGCAACATTAATTACTATCTCTCTATAGGTACTTTTATAATAAAAACTTCTAACTCTTTGCGTAGATGCTTGCTTGCTGTAGCTCTATATAAATAAAATGCTGTAGCATCTACTAAACACTCTAAAACTCTTATATATAAAAATTATACACGCATTGCTGCATACGCGTGCTGCTTACATAGAGTCTCTTTTTACTACTAAACTAACTTCTCTTATTACAGCACTACACCTACGCTATTAAAAGCTATATTTTTTATTTTTTTTAAATAGCGTAATTTTTAATTTATATACATAAAGAAGAAGATATATACTAGTAGTATAATATAACTTTGGCTGTAATGTAATTTACTTATTCTGTTCCATAAGCCGAGCTTGTGGCTATTTAGTCGGGGGCTTACGGAACCTTAGAGCGCGATGGTCAACCACACTAGCCACAGTAATGACTAATCTACTTCTTCGGTCTTCGGTCTTGTCTATCTAGCAAGCAACTGTCCAAGCTGCAAGACTGCAATCCTCCAGTCAACCTCCACACTCCCCCTACGTTCCACTGCAATAATAACTTTCTCCGGCATCCACACCATGTGCTACGTTCGTATCATCGACACCGGGCGCAACTCTGCCGCGGCACGACTGTAGCTGCATCGCGTAACAGCGGACATCTGGCCAGCACTCCAACCGCCTTTGTCGATCGTAAACCATTCCTTGGTGGTGTGACAAGAAAATACTTCGAAAACCTGTACAACACTGAGGTCGGATGGGTGTAGGTTGTTCTACTGCACAATGCTGAGATGCGATGGATGAGGATGGTGACCCAATGGAAGGAGCGGAGCGTTTTTTGTAACACTCAAGGTTCGGTGTACAAGTTATGCCAATTCAATCAGAGCAGGATTTCTGTAAGACTCTGCAATGCCCCTGTGCAATGTTGTCGAAAGCGTAAATAGGTAAAGGCTGCCTTAAGCTGCTCGGCTCATTAACAGATGAACACTGCGAACCCGCTCAAACCTCAGCTTACTCACACCTCCACGATGTCCAGTGATGGTAGCATCTCCTTGGCAGCTTCATCGGACCCATCCTCTTACCCGCCGAACACGGGTACTAGTCGTTTTGGTAATAGCGCAGCGTCTATTACGTCCTTATACGACGACCGAAAACGAGCGCACAAGTCGGCTGTGGTGCAAGCGCTCACAGATCCAGCGCTTACGAAATTGATGGAAAGAACGGCTTAGGCTTATAAAGTGAAATGGACCAGGAGCAGCACATGTTGGTACACAAGTCGCGATTTTGTTTGCAGCAAGGATTCGCTGACCCTAACACGGTAGCGATGGTAGATTGCCGGCTTAAAATCGAGGGCCTCACGAACGGTTCTTCAGCTGAACGACGGTATTTCGAATGGAATCTAGGAAGGAAACATGTACTGGCTGTACACATCGCAGACTTGCTGATCCAGTCGATATCATGGGCTTGAACTGAGGCTTTCACATGCTAGGAGAGACGATGAAGTAGCACTGGGATCTTTCCGTGTTCTGTGCAAGTCCATGACTTAGACGTAGAATGCTATGAGGTGGAGCTATACTATGGATGTCAAAAGTTCAAAAGTGACCGTGAAAACTGGATGGGTTTGGAAGGACTTTTAAGTCGGACCTTGCTGTGATAGGCCAGCGCTCAGTAACGGCAACGGCCTGGGTAGCTATCGTAGGCAGATCAACCATGAAGTGCCATTTTTCTCAAAAATATCCTCATCACCTCCAAAACAAATCCAAGGCAAATATCGGATATTTTCTATATCAACGGGTTCAGTTCTATAGTTGATGTAATCTCCGGGCTCTTTTGGGGCAAAATTCTCAAAAAAATCAAATGTAAAAACAGGAATGCATTCTCCCTTTGTTCAGTAGTTATCAATATCAATCTTGCACATCCAGACCTTGCCAGAGCTAACCCCAAAACCAATCATCCTCTCCGATACTGTTGAGCATGACGGGCGATAATCCGAGGGCAACCACAGCAGATTCTTAGAACGTAATGTAATCCACTTTCCGCTTGGATCCAAAGCTATGCCCTGATATTCGGGACCACGATGCTCCGTCCCAGTCGATGTTTTGGCAACTGGCAACGGGTTAATCATAATTGTACCATTATCAGTTTGCAAAAATGAACCTGTAATGTTAAAGGCGATATTGTAGACAGATTTGCCAACATTGTAGGTCTGTAGGGAGTCTCCACTGCTAAGGTCCCAGATCTTGATCGTGCCTTCGGCTGAGCCCGACGCCAGTCTTTGCGAGTCAGGCGTGAAAGCTAAGGAGCCAACTTCACCTTCATGGCCCTTCAGAGTACGCAGGCAGGTGCTATTGCTAGGGTCCCAGATCTTGACGGTGCCGTCAAACGATCCTGAAGCTAGCCGTTGCGAGTTGGGCGAAAGGACTACTGACCTAACCCCACTTTCATGGCCTTCAAGCGTACGCAGGCAGTCGCCGTTGCTAAGATCCCAAATCTTGATTGTCTTATCATGCGACGCCGAAATTATTTGCCGTGATGTAGGCAAGAAGGCTAGTGAAACAACCCAATTACTATGTCCTTGAAGCGTAAGCAGGCAGTCGCCGCTGCTAGGGTCCCAGATCTTGATTGTATTGTCCGCCGAAGCTGACACCAGCTGGTGTGAGTCAGGCAAGATGATTACCGAGTTCACCCAATCACTGTGACTCTCAAGTTTGTGCAGGTAGTTGCTGCTGCTATAGTCCCAGATCTTGATAGTGTTATCGAACGATCCCGAAGCTAGCCGTTGCGAGCTAGATGAGAAGGCTACTGATCTAACGCCACCTTTATGGCCTTTGAGTGTACGCAGGCAGCCGCCGTTGCTGAGATCCCAGATCTTGATCGTCATATCGCGTGAAGCTGATGCTAGCTGCTGCGAGCTAGGTAAGAAAACCACCGAGTTGACCCAATCACTATGACCCTCGAGCGTACGCAGGCAGTCGCCGCTGCTAAGGTCCCAGATCTTGATAGTTTTGTCGCGCGACGCCGATGCTAACGCCAGTCGTTGTGAGTTGGAAAAAATAGTCACCGAATTCACCCAATCGCTGTGGCCCTTGAGCGTACGCAGACAGTCGCCGTTGCTGAGATCCCAGATCTTGACCGTCATATCGCGTGAAGCTGATGCTAGCTGCTGCGAGCTAGGTAAGAAAACCACCGAGTTGACCCAATCACTATGACCCTCGAGCGTACGCAGGCAGTCGCCGCTGCTAAGGTCCCAGATCTTAATCGTGTTGTCGCGAGATGCTGACGCCAGCCATTGCGAGTCGGGCGAAAAGACCACGGAGTTAACCCAATTGCAATGATCCTCGAGCGTTTGCAAACAAGCACTCCAGCTGTTTCTAAGGGGCGGGCTGATAATGATCCCTCTAGGCTCTTCATTTCTGAAAAGACCTTTTATTAGACTATGTTCTGGGCTGAATAAAAGTGCAGACGCATATGCTTGAAGTGGACTGTTCTCTATTGCCACTTTGTGGTACATAATAAACCGGCAAGCGTCCTGCACAAGTCCATTGAGGGAAGATGCATCTGCTGTCTCCTATATCATGTTAGAAGGTACCAAGTGGGGTTAGAATTGCATAGTAAAGTACCTGTATCAGAGCCGCTAATTTATGAATCGAAACTACCCCCTTTGACATGTTTTGACAGAGGCTAAGAGCTTCCAGCCAGTAGAGATACCTCGTCCGCAGAAATGTATCGACAACGTCTCCATCTTGCAAGCTTGCTCGGCTAGTTGCAAAGGAGCTAAGACCTGAGTCATAGAGGTGATCAACCCAGTAGATGCAGGAGTATCGCGAAGCTGCTAATGGGTCAGGTTCTGGCTGTTGGATCAGTTCAGTAGGATACCCAAATTCCCGTAAGTCATACATGTCTCGACATAATGTTGCGGACATGACCTGAACCGATCTAGAGAACACAACCCAATGAGCTTTCTCTCTTCCAGAAGGAAAAATTTTGTGTGATGCCTTTGCAAGCAAAAAGTCCTTTGCGGATTGATGCACAAAGTAGATAGTGTTCTCTCGTAGCGTAAGAAACGATCCGCAGTAGCCAATAATTTCTTGTATGGCCTCATAATCATATGCGACATCCTCAAGCCGTTCTGCGAGCGCAATTAGCTCCTCGAGCGTGACTGGTCGATATGCAGTTGCGGTCACAGATAATATTTCCTTGCACACGTCTGCATCATCCGAATTGCTTATCTGCTGCATCATCCTCTCGTAGAGTGAGTTAAGACCCGGAGGAAAGGTATCCAGCCTCTTTATGACATGCCGCTCTGACACTTTCATCAAGCTTTGGCACACTAACGCTACCCATAGGAAAGTGCCGCCCGCATTTGAAGTCAAATGATCTTGCACTGCTTCTTTTGTCTTAATGCTATACTTCTTTTCTTGTGATAGCTGGAGCACTTTGTGTTGGATGAAAATGTCGACAGCAGACGAAACAGACTCTGCACTGAGCTCAAGGCTTAGTCTCACTTCCTGTCCCGTCTTCGCTAGTATTTCTTCAATGTATGGCCAATTACGACTTGAGACGACCCATTTGACACGAGGCGATGCAGACGAATGCTGGGCGATGAAGTCGAGCAGTCTTGGTAGGTCTACTGTACATTCGTCGAGTGCATCGATAATCAGGTACGTGTTGCTTAAGTTCGGATCTTGTAGGACATCTGCGAAGATATTACACAGAGCAAACCATGCATTCGTATCCTCAAAGAGCGCTTTACCTGCGTAATCGTGCTTCTTCCGGATATGTGAAATAAGCGAAGGTTGCTGGGTGACAAGCAGGTATAGCAGACCCCGCAGCACGGCTACAGCGTTATTAATTCTTGTTTCCGTCCCTTGGCAGAAGAAGTACGACAGCAGGTCAGTCTTTGACGGTGACATCGTCAGTTCATTGATGATGCCACATAGTAGCATTGTCTTTCCTTTTCCAGGGTTTCCTTTGATCCACAGCAGTCGGCTCTGCTGGTTGTCGCGCCACTGTAAAAACTCGGCACTTTGGAAAATCCAGCGATAGGAGTCCTCCAATAGGCCACCGTTCGCTGCTTCAATCCGTTCCTTGTCAAGACGAGGATCAGTACAATAAAGATCCTTTAGACAGTTGATTTCCAGTAGATTTGGGTGATCCCGTTGGCTCCAATGATCTAGCTCAAGAAAAGAATTAGCCAAACACGAGACTGGTCGGTATAGACGTGGATTCCAGGACTGAACATACTCGTTACGTTGTAAACCGGCTTGCGTACATCGACTTATTCATGTACGTTAGGAAGATACATAGACTCGTGCCAAACTATTTCTTACCAAAATGTGCGTCGCCAGTGATTTGGTTGTGATACATGTCCCCCGTACCCTTGTGGGTATTCATAGTTCCTTGCCCAGTAACTGCATTGTTGTCACCACTCCCACTATGATTCTGTTGGACACCATCTCCCGTCTCATCCGAAAGGGAAGGAGGCATATCTTTCATTTGCTTCATCGCCTCGCTCACCTCCTCCATATCTGCATCGGTAGCAGTTCCCGTCAACTTCTCGCATGCGAGTACATGAATGTCCTTCAGTATATCCCCCATCAAATCCTCCACCTTATTTCGTTTCCCTAGTACACCCACTGCGGCTTTCTTATATCGATCGTACCACTTATCTTCATCCTTCCGAACGACCTTGTGAAACACTTCCTGAAGTTCCTCAGCCTTTGCTTTGCATGACTTCAGAATGGGCTCCAATGCTTCTTGTTCCATCTCGTTGAGCGTTTGCGCCCTTGCCCTAGCGCTACAAAGAATTCGGAGGACTAGCGGAAGCCGTGCAGCCACCTGACGAAATGCCTCTGGCTGGCCTTGGGCGTCTTTGGCGGCATCGTATACAATTTTAGTTGCTTCGACGATTGAGATTACTCCTGAAATGAGGCCAATAACGAATCCGGCTTCGGCACCGCTCATAATGAAGAATCGACGATGATTGACGTTGAACGTGGATCACGTACTAAGGTACTAAACAGTGTAAATAGTTGACATGGCGGAATGCGGGTCTTGAATATGCGTACCAGGTGACACGGCTTGATCAGATTGAGGACGCGCACAGCTTTATGAGGTGGCCAAACCTTTAGAGCTTTAGGAAACTCTTCAGCGAGACGTGAGCCTTCCTTAATATTCTGTGGCGAGGCTTACATTGTGCATCATGTTGTGTGGTTGGTCGAGCCATTGCACAGCTCAGCCCCAGTCCTTCCAGCTGAACACGTGTATTGTTTTTACTGGGACTAACGTAGATGCGCTCTAAGGTTCCGTAAGCCCCCGACTAAATAGCCACAAGCTCGGCTTATGGAACGGAATAAGTAAATTACATTACAGCTAAAGTTGTATTATACTACTAGTATGTATCTTCTTCCTTATATATATAAATTAAAAATTACGCTATTTAAAAAAAATAAAAAATATAGCTTTTAATAGCGCAGGTGTAGTGCTATAATAAGAGAAGTTAGTTTAGTAATAAAAAAAGACTTTATATAAGCAGCACGCGTATGCAGCAATACGCGTGTAATTTTTATATATAAAAGTTTTAAAGTGTTTAGTAGATACTATAGCATCTTATTTATATAAAGCTGCAGTAAGCAAGCATCTACGCAAAGAGTTAGAAGTTTTTGTTATAAAAGTACTTGTAGAGAGATAGTAATTAATGTTACACTTTTATATAAACTTATATATTATAGCGCGTATAGGGCTAGTAGCAACTTTCTAGTAAAGTTATAAAGTATAGATAATTAAATAACACCTTTTAGCTAGTTTTATAAGTAATAATAGCGCAGGTGTATGTGTAAAGAGCATGTGCATGCAGCAATACATACGTATTTTTTATATAAAAAGGTTTTAAAATGTTTAATAAATGCTAGAGCATGCAATTTATATAAAGCTGTAGCAAATAAACTATTACGCATAAAGTTAGAAGTATTTAAAAAAAAAGTACTTATAGTGTTTTTTTAGCACGCGTAAAGAGATAGTACATATCTTCTTTTAGCACACTTATAAACTAAAAGGTAAAAAAAGCTAATATTAGCTCTTTAACTCTAGATAGCTAGTAGCAGCTAGATCTATATTGTTGCAGTTAAAAAATTGTATCTTAGCTAGCTATATGTTTAAAATAGTTATTAGTTGTAACTTAGAGCTATAAAGTACAGAAAAGTATATAAAGAGTACGTAAAGCGTTAGCATAGCAGTAGCACATTTACTTGTCTTGCTACTATTGTCTATTAGTATAGCTAACTTATTTCTACTTAAACTTTATATTAAAGAAGATAATTTCTTTATACAAACAAAACGTATAGTAAGAATCTTAGTAATTGCTCTAAAAGCAAGACCTACTATAGAAGCAAGAGCTAATCTAGGCGGACCTTTAGAGCAATTTAAAGCTAGCTAACGCTAACATAATTAGTATTGCTAAGCTAACTAACTAGATTGCTTCTAGTGCTGCAGCATTTAAAGAGCTATAAATAGCTATAATACTCTACTAACGTGCACCTAAAGTTTAGCAGATTAACTAAAAAATGCTACTACTCTACAAGACTCTAGGCGCAAGGGCACTAGAGCCTTGCTAAAATTAAGTGCTATTTTTACAAGCATTTTTTTATTTATGCTATGCCTTAGGAAATTAAACAACGTGCTAGCATCTATAATTAGTTAACTTTTATTCCTCTTTTAAGCACTGTTCCCTTACTACCTCTTCTTACGCCTTTTAAATATCTTTTGCCTAATAGCTAGCAAAAGCGTAAGCATTACTAACAGCCTTTATTTTATTAAAAATGCTAATGCTTTACGCTATTTTTATACTACATATACTCTTATTGCGCTTTAAATACGTTGCTTAAAACTAATAATACTATCTCTGTTATAACTTTAAAAGCATCTGCTCTCTTCTTAACTTCTACTGCTACAAGCTTTAGCTATTATATTATTCTTAAACCTGTACCTTCTAGCTGTAAGCAATTGCAAAGTCTAACATAAAAGTACTATTGCCTGCTAGCATACGCTCTACAGCTAATTAATATACGCTAACTGCGTAATACAGAGCAGCTTAAATTAGTAGTAGCTATTTAGTCTGCATTGTCTTAGCAAAATAGATTCTAGTTTATTTATATTAGCTTAAAGGTCCGCGTTATCTCTGTTAAAGATAATCTATGTTAATAGACTAACTTACTAACACTTTCTCTAAGAGCAGCTTAGAACAGCTAATCCTAACGCATTTAAGAACAACGTCTATAAATACATGTTCTACAACAATTCTACTTTATTAGCAACGCTAGGTTACATATAGCAGAGAGTAGAGAATATCTACAAAATTGCCTAGACGTGTAATAACTGTAAAAAAGATAAGAATGCTTAGTTAAAAGTTTTAAAAAAGGTTGTTAACACAGCACTAAAATTAAGCAATGCATAAAAGTTAGAGCTTAATAGCATGCAGACATAGAACATTAAAACTAAATACTTTGCGCTAACAGAATTGCTAACTAGAAAAAAGGCTAATTTTGTTTTTATATTTACTAATTGCAAGGACAATGTTAACTCTACATACTAAGCATTTATATTAAAACACAGACACAAAAGCTTTAGCCTAATAATAGACACTTACACATCTAAACTTGCATTTGCATGTGCTTTTAAGCTTAAAGAGCTAAATAAAGGCTATTTTAAAGCTAAAGCCTAGCTTGCTACTTTTTATACTATAATGCTTTTAAAGTTAAAAGATCTTGCATAAGATACTAGAGCAATTTTAAAAGCACCTGCTTTTATTAGTTAGGTTGTAGTTAGGCATAATTAGTTTTGTTACATCTCTACTCTGTGCCCTAATAGCAGCATAGTACGTATTATAAATAAACTCTACTGTATAGTATACTTACTAGTTGCTATAGAAGGTCTAAGGCCTATTTAATAGCCTTTAAGGCAGTACACAAACCTATTATAAAATACTTAAGTTATTAAGCCTCCTTAAACATTTTTATTTAAATATACTTTATAAGCGCTTCTAGCAGACTATACAGTTATACCTTACTAGCAACGCTTTGCTCTAAAATATTACTAACAATTTATCTAGAGTATAAAGAGCATAATTCTTTTAACATTTATAGCAATAAGATAATAATTCTAAAACTATTACTAGTTTGTAATCTTATTAACACACTTAATAGCATAGCTTTTTTAGTAATGCAAAAGGTAGTTACATATAGTATTACATAGCTGTAAGAACTTCTAATATAGTTCTTTCTGCACACTGCGTTATTTTGCAATGCAACTATAGTTACTTAAAAATAGGAATTAGATTAGAGGATTGTGATAGTGTTATGTAGGAGGCTTTAAATACTACTGTAGCTAGTTTGTCTTAGCAAAGCGCATTACGTAGAGGCACTCCTACATGTCTTTACAAAATCGCGAGGTTATTGCCTCTAGGGCAAGGTTAGGGCTAGTGCGGGTTGGCCATCCTGCATGCTAGTAGTGGCAAGAGTACACCGCTACCTCTGTAACTTGCTTATACATTAACTAAGAGCTACTTTCTGTCTATGTATAAGTAAGTATATTCCTCCCTTTCTCGCTGCTAGCATATTAGTATACACTTAAATTATAGAGCATATATGCACACTTTACAGCAAAATCTAGGTTCCTGCTACTAGCCGCGCTGGTGCAACCTATTTATTACGTAGCTGCCTAAGCAGCGTTCTACAGTTAACGTATTCTTAGTTACTCTAATACTTTAATCAACTAGCGCCCTGCGGTACTGTGCCGTGGCAGGACACCCATTACAAAATTTTCTTTTGTTACTCTGCGGGCACTCAGTTGCCATTAGATAGACTGATTGTTTAGGTGTACTGAATGATAGTTGTACGTGCCCACAGGCACCTACCTGGCTGTCGCCATTGCTTTTCCTATGTACAAGGAAGAAGCTAGGTATTGAGACAAAGGAAGAGCTCTCTCCGGTCTCAGTTTGATGAGCTGAAGCAACAGGAGTGCAGGGCAACCTAGGATAGCTGCTTCTTATGTGGTATATAAGGAGGAGAAGCACCTAACATAGAGAGATGTCGAATATACAGAGTGTGAAAAACCATCCTACGTTTGAGATCTATTGTGACACTAGTTGTGGTCTTTGCTTCCTATCTGCGTAGCACGGTGACAAGAGTTGTCAGCTTGCTCAGCCTATTTATCGCTACGGACCTGTAAGGAGACAGTTCTCAGAGGGTATTTGAGGTGAGTGAGTGATTGAACCTGTTGATAGCTTACGAGTTGGAAAAGAGCCATAGCACGGCATAGATTTTGGTGATGAGAGTGGGACCCCCGTCCTTGCTATCCCCAACTACAACACAATAGATGACTACCGAGAGAGGCAACAGTTTGAACGAGTTCCTTCAAAACTTGCCATTTAACAACAATCCCGACATAGTGCCAGACGAAGACAACCATCGACCACTGAGCATTATGTCTACCCAACACCAACACCAACACCAGTCTGACGCGCACCGCGCAGAGGACTATCTTGAGGAGGAAGAGCACCGAAGGAGCTTTCCTCAATTGCGATTGCCCCGAGGGAAGGAACTGTCCTTTTCTGGGGAAAATGTGACTGCATTTCTGGATGATTATAATCGGATCTGCAACAATGCTGGGTATACTGACTTGGCGAAGCTGCGTACGCTTCCTGAGTGGTGTGACCGAGAGCCGGAGCTGCTGATTAAGCAACTCCCCGCGTTTAAGAGTGGGTCATGGAAGGACCTGCAGAAGGTAATGAAGGAGCACTGGGAGGACCTGGACCCAGAGCAGCAAATGGGGACTGAGGCGTTTCTGCGTGCGTTTGTGGAGGAAAGCTCTCATGGCAAGTTGTCATTTGAACTTTACTACACCCGGTTTTGCATTTATTCAAATGCATGCATCGATAAAGGGCAAATCACCATGAACTCCCGAGGGCGA